GGGCGGAAGCCGTCGACGGGCGCGCGCGACAGATCCCAGAGGCGCCCCGCTCGTTCTGGCCCAAGGTCTCGGGCGCAGCCAGTGGGCGAGCTGGAGATACAGAAGCCCCTCGACAGGCGCTGCGCGGCCGGGGGCATGGCCGACATCGCGGCCCCCTGTGTGGAAGATTTACGACAGACCCTCAAACGATTTCGGCAGTGCCCCTGGTCCAGATTGGCTCCCCCGCAGGGCTTGGATAGTCTCCGAGGCCCAACTCGACGCCCCCCGCGGGCCCCTGCGGCACCTCATGGCTGGCCACTGCGCCCCCTAGCCCCCTTATGACTCGCTCTTCGCGTTCCCGCCGCAGGGAAGTGTGATTCTCGACGCGCGTGAGTGCTTTGGGAGTCCGTCGCAGATTAGGCCTCTCCCCCTTACGGTTTTCGGGCGCAAAGGCCCTGGCGGCAGCAGCGAATCGAAAGTTCATGCGTTGAGTGAAGGAAAGGGCGCGCGCCGTCCAACGGGGCTTCGTGCCAGGTAGGAACGAACTTCCCGGGCAAAACAATGACTCTCGACGCGGCTGCTCGCCGCGCCGGCATCTACGAGCGCGCGGGGGCACGTGCCCCCGTCTTCGTCGCCTCTGATACAGCTGCGGCGCTTCAGTTTCTTGGGCGCGAGTGGCCGCGCTCAGTTCTCGAGCGTCTTGGCTTTGCAGCGGGCTGCATCAATCGAGTTGCCTCTTAGTATTTCTGCCCGCGGCCTTCTGCGCGCGCCCGGGCCCCTTCGTCAGTTTTTGTTTTCTCTCCAGGCGGGGGTCATGCAGGGGCGCCCCTTCTCTGGATCGGTCTGGGGGCCATAGCCGTGGATCCGATTTTGCGCCATCGTGCGAGGGCGGTCTGGTCGTCGTCTCTCGGTGAGTGTCGGGGGGCGGCGGGAGGGGGGGGGTGCGCCGACGTCGCGGGGCTGGTGCAGCCGCGCCTGCAGGGTCTGATTAAATCTCCCCCAATTTTCGAGCGCGCGGAAGCTCTGGCGCGCTTGAAGCTGCGAACACATGAGACTGTGACCGTTCCTCTGTGGGCAGAGCCCACTCCCGAGCCCGAGGTTCCTGACAGAATCCGCGCGTTCCTTTTGCTGCACATTCCCAGGTGGGCAGACATTAGGATTGCGTCACGCGCCAAGTATCTAGGTATTCAGTTAGGGACAGGCGTTGCAGAGCATCCTATTTGGGCTGAAGCGGCTCGCATACGATGGACTCGAACGGTCGACGTCCCGCGCGGTTAGTGCCCGACCAGTGCGAGCATCCTTCTGCGCACTAGCATCGCGCTGTCCACACACAGCTAACTTGCGCGAATATCCCCGATTCCGCGCGCGGTTATTCTCGAGGAAAACATTGCCCCAAACGAAGTTTTCAGTCTGCCGCCAAGCACGTTCCACAAGGCTTATTTGTTGGCTTTCGAGGCGCGCGTGCTTGTTGCCCCAGCGTCCGCCCTCATCTCGAGTGCGCCGATCCCGCGGCGTTGTGCTTGTCACGCTCTCGGGGCACGGCGGCAGCAGCTCGGCGAGTGGTCTGACACGGTGGTGCAATCGCGCCCATTCGTGGAATGGTTGCAGGGCGCATGGAACGCGGCCTGCTAGGCAGGGCAGCCTCCAGCGATCCCAATCCCTCCTTCGTGAGCCACCGCCCCGAGGGATTTCCAAACGCCGCCGGGGCGATGGGCGGCGGGCGGCTCGCCATGAGCAGGCTGCCGCCTTCGAGGGCGCGCATGCCGACGGCCCAACGGATTATATCCTCTTCGCTCCGAGCCTCTCCCTACCCCCCCTCATTCGAGACTGCCATCACCGTGCTCCTCTGAGCTCGGGGCCTGCTGGACTCGATCAGCGGCGCCGTGGCGGAGCGTTGGAATGACTGCTTGGCCACCCAACGCTTGCAGAAGCCAGCCTGGAAATGGTGGCTACCAAAAGCGCTAACGGGCGGCTGGGCAATTTTCCATCGCATGCATGTTGCTGGAGTGGTCAACTGCCTCTTTGGCTGCGTTGGTGCCACAAATTCCATGTCCCACTACCTCTCCTGCCCCGTCCTCCGTGAGCTCCTTTCCTTGCCTTCCTCTCCCCACCTCAGTCTCGACTTCGGGTCCGACGGCGAATGCAAAAACGCATCTTGGGCACACGGCCGCCGTGCTGCGATTCGCCCCGGTGTGCTCTCATCCCATACGTATCACAAGCTGAAGGCATCGCTCGGTCATGGTTATAGTGTGGATGCTCAGCAACAACACGCCGCGGTCGCCGCTGCAGTGTACGCCGCTGATCTTTAAGCGATCCAGGCGGGACCGCGCCCCCAGGCACGGTCAACCGTCATCACCTATACCACATTCATCACCAACACTATCATGATCACCATCATCGTCATCATCATCGTCAGCATCAGCATTCGCATCATCACCGTCATTATCAGCACCATCATCATCATCACCACCATCATTATCAGCATCAGCATCAGCATCAGCATCAGCATCATCATCATCATCATCATCATCATCATCATCATAGCCGGCACCAACATCACCATCATTTGCACAAATCACCATCACCATCATCATCACCATCATCATCAACCTTACCATCACCATCACCATCACCATCACCATCATCATCATCATCATCATCATCATCATCATCATCATCATCATCAACATCATCATCATCATCATCACCCCCGTCGGTCGGAGCAATGGCCAATGTTCGGCACTCCATCTCCAGGGTTGGCGGAGTATGCCAAGGGCCCCAGGGGGGGAGGGTGCGGTCTCTTGGTAGATCGCAAGGCAGCTGTTTTCAACGCAGTCGCGGAGGGGCGTCTTGGGATCGTTTTTCTTGCTCGTCCCCGTCCTCCCCGCCCTCTTCGTGTCCCCTCTCTTCCTACTCCTCCTCCTCCTCCTCCCGTTCCTATTGCGAAGGCCTGACGGCCGGTGCCGCCGACCCTGTTCGCAATGCGCAGCAAGAGATTACGAGGTTGCTCAAGGTCGGCTTGGCTGGAGCCCAGGGGAAGAGGAGTCCCAGGGGGGGGCGTCGTATCTGACCCGGGGGGGGGTCGACACCCCCCCCCCCCTCCCGGCGGGGGAGGGATCAAAGGGAAGGGGCTTCCCTTCGACTCAATTACGAGGTTGCTCAAGGTCGGCTTGGCTGGAGCCCAGGGGAAGAGGAGTCCCAGGGGGGGCGTCGTATCTGACCCGGGGGGGGGGTCGACCCCCCCCCCCCTCCCGGCGGGGGAGGGATCAAAGGGAAGGGGCTTCCCTTCGACTCAATTACGAGGTTGCTCAAGGTCGGCTTGGCTGGAGCCCAGGGGAAGAGGAGTCCCAGGGGGGGGCGTCGTATCTGACCCGGGGGGGGGGTCGACCCCCCCCCCCCCCGGCGGGGGAGGGATCAAAGGGAAGGGGCTTCCCTTCGACTCAATTACGAGGTTGCTCAAGGTCGGCTTGGCTGGAGCCCAGGGGAAGAGGAGTCCCAGGGGGGGGCGTCGTATCTGACCCGGGGGGGGGGTCGACCCCCCCCCCCCCCCTCCCGGCGGGGGAGGGATCAAAGGGAAGGGGCTTTTCAATTACGAGGTTGCTCAAGGTCGGCTTGGCTGGAGCCCAGGGGAAGAGGAGTCCCAGGGGGGGGCGTCGTATCTGACCCGGGGGGGGGGTCGACCCCCCCCCCCCCTCCCGGCGGGGGAGGGATCAAAGGGAAGGGGCTTCCCTTCGACTCAATTACGAGGTTGCTCAAGGTCGGCTTGGCTGGAGCCCAGGGGAAGAGGAGTCCCAGGGGGGGGCGTCGTATCTGCGGGGGGGGGTTGGGGAGGGGGACTCCGACAAGCTGGAGCCCCCAGGGGGGCGTCGTATCTGACCCGGGGGGGGGGTCGACACCCCCCCCCCCCTCCCGGCGGGGGAGGGATCAAAGGGAAGGGGCTTCCCTTCGACTCAATTACGAGGTTGCTCAAGGTCGGCTTGGCTGGAGCCCAGGGGAAGAGGAGTCCCAGGGGGGGGCGTCGTATCTGACCCGGGGGGGGGGTCGCTACCCCCCCCCCCTCCCGGCGGGGGAGGGATCAAAGGGAAGGGGCTTCCCTTCGACTCAATTACGAGGTTGCTCAAGGTCGGCTTGGCTGGAGCCCAGGGGAAGAGGAGTCCCAGGGGGGGGCGTCGTATCTGACCCGGGGGGGGGTCGACACCCCCCCCCCTCCCGGCGGGGGAGGGATCAAAGGGAAGGGGCTTCCCTTCGACTCAATTACGAGGTTGCTCAAGGTCGGCTTGGCTGGAGCCCAGGGGAAGAGGAGTCCCAGGGGGGGGCGTCGTATCTGACCCGGGGGGGGGGTCGCTACCCCCCCCCCCTCCCGGCGGGGGAGGGATCAAAGGGAAGGGGCTTCCCTTCGACTCAATTACGAGGTTGCTCAAGGTCGGCTTGGCTGGAGCCCAGGGGAAGAGGTCTCCCAGGGAAAGGGAAGGACAGAGACGACGAGTACAAAGAATGACGGAGATGACGGCTCGAACGGAAAAGCCCCTCACACACGCCGACAGGGTCGGCGGATTCGTCCTGCCTCTGTCCCTTCCCCTCCTTCCCCTCCTCGCCCTCCTCTCTCCCTCCCTGCAAGGTTCAGGAGGCAGTCTGCCTCGCGTTGGGGTTGCCCTTTGGGGCTCTGGCGCCAGCCAGGCGAGTAACGTGAAAGTGTGGGGCCGTCGTCGATTGCGCGGACATCCGCGCAGAAACTCCCGCGTGAGGTCGCGCGCGAGCGCGCTTTTCTCCGCTCGTGGTGTGTTGCCGCTTGCCGCGTCAGCGGGCTTTGCAGGACATTTCGTAAAGTCGCCGCGTCCTCGTGCGCAGGTCAAGGAAGGAAAAACCACCCGGACCGGACAATTGGCGTTTACACAACAGCCCTGCCTTGTTTGATTCCTTCTTTGGGTGCGTTTACTCAACGGCTTCGCGTGTCGGGTGGTTATTATCGGGGTGGATTTTCTGCCCTCGTGCGTAGGGGAGCCCTTGTATTCGTCCCTCAGGTGGCGTGCTTTGTAGCCTGCATGACCGCCATGGGCTACAGCTTCGACGTCTTCTTCGGGCACTGCATGGCGGCGGGCCGCAAGGCGCGGCCCGGCACGGGCCGTTGGCTTCTAGGTAGGCAGGTGCGCTGTGCGTGAATCGGCCTCCCGGGAGGCGGAAGAGGATGGTGGTGATGGTGAAGAGGATGGCGATCCGCATTCTGCAGGTGAAGGAGACGGAGAATGCGTGACCACGATGATGGTGTTGATGGTGACGGACATGTGGTAGTGGTAATCGTGCTGGTGATGATCGTGGCTAAAACGATGACGACGATATTTCAGTTGAGGATGATGATGATAATTTTTCTGAGGATGTGGAGGATGAGACTGACCAGGAGGCAGCGGAGGAGGAGGATAGGGAGGAGGAGGGCAACCGTTCAGCTGCTGGTTGGTTGGTCCTCGTGATGGGCACGAGGACAGTGGTGCCTTTCCTGGAGTCGTGAAGCGTACATGGAGGTTGACGGGTTGGTGCCCAAAACGGAGGCGACGATCAGGCCCAAGTGTTGCATAGTGTAGCATACGTGGTGTCATCATAACAGTTGGTCCTGCTCCCGAAATGATCATTTTGCATCGCGCGCGGCCGCAAACGTGGGGCGTGCTCATCTTGATACCGCCGCAGGGCCCATTTCGACTCGATCTTTCCGATTCGATACAGGCTTTGGCCAGCTCGATCCGATTCGATTCCGATAGTCCGGCGAGCCGACGCGGCCCGATGATCGCACGATGCTGTCGTGCAGCTTGGCACGACCGACCCGATTCGACCTCGACTCCATGCCGACCCAGCCCGATCTGGCGCAGATTTAGGGGGCCACATGCGAACCCTACCCCTACCCCCCACGATTTCTGAGGGGGAGGGTGGGGTTCACTCCATTCGGGAGCTCCCGAGCGAAGCGAACCCCACCCTCCCTCTCAGAAATCGTGCGCATGTGGCCCCCTACCAGTCCGATCTGGCGCAGATTCCGAGTCGATCCGTTTTGCTGATTCGGTGTTGCTTGATCCTGTGGGAGGGTGGTAGAAGAGGATCGCTGTATGCACCACGTCGCCTGGTCGGCCAAAGAGCCGAGGAGTTCGGCGAAGGAGTTCGGTGTACAGATGTTGGAGGCCTGGAAGTGGGCACCAACACCAACAGAGGGGGTTTGCCTCCACAGGGAGAAGATGATCCTGGATTCCGGTGTCGGTGGTAATCTTTCGGCCACCCCGGCAGCCAGAATATCACCACCATCGCCGAGATCGGGATCTTCTTCCTTCGGTGACAGCACACCGCCGATGTTGGTGTTGGTGTCAATCTCTAGGCCTGCGAAGATGCGTTCCAGAGTCCCACAGGTGAAGGGGCCCTGGGACACACAAGTAAATACACAAATGAAGATATTTCCCATATTTTCATATATTTTCTGGGTTTTTGCCTTCCCCACCACTTCCCAATTTTTTCATATTTTCCTGGGGATCGACGATTAATTGTGTCTGTGTGTTTTTCCCTCCCGAACAGGTTGGGAAGACGGGGCGCATACCGTCGACCCGCAGAGTAAGGACAGGCATCCCTCCCAAAGGGCACCCTTGCATCCTTGCTTCCTGGGTCCATCCTTGGATCGGGGGTGGACAGAACCCCCACTTGTGACACGTCGATTAGTGAATTGTCCGTTTTCGGTTCTCGAGAGGGCGCCGTGGCCGTCATTTTCCAGGCTTGCGCCCGCCAGGTTTGGGCCTCAGGTCGTTTTCACTAAACCACGTTTTACTAAAGGGGGGTCTGTCCATCCCCGATTGGACACTTTCGTTGGCCGCGCCTCGCTCGAAACGCTTCGAGATGGGCGTCCAAGGGCCTCGCATCCTTACCGCGCATCCTTACTCTGCCGGTTGACTGTACACACCGAGCTCCTTGGCCGACCAGCCGACTTTGAGGTGCACTCCGCGCCCCTCGGTGTGGGGGGTGGGCCTGCACCGTCCCAGGGTGGCGCGGTGCAGCACGGCCCCCCCCCCCCCCCGGAGATCCCGCTGAGCTCCCGACAAGCCCGCGAGGCGGGGCGGAGGAACAGGAGGCGGAGGAGGAGGAGGAGGAGGAGGAGGAGGAGGAAGAGGAAGAGGAGCAGGAACATGAGGCGGAGGAGGAGGAAGAGGAGGAAGAGGAAGAGGCGGGCAGAGGAACATGAGGTGGAGGAAGAGGAGGAAGAGGAGGAGGGCTCCCGGCGAACGCGCGCGCGACCCGCTGGTTTTCTGCCCCAAACGCGCTGGCGTGGCAGAGCGAAGGATACATATGGAACGCTCGCCCTCCGCTCGTGCATCCCGTCGTGTATCATCGTAGGACTATCGTTTTGATGAGTTTCATCACACGTTGGTGTGGCACGTTGGTGTCATGAGACGCTGGTGTGCCAAGGGTATTCAGCATGGAGGTCTAGTTCGACAGCGATCCATTGACGGCTGGTCCTTCGCATATGTATCCACTCGTGTATCATCGCAGGACTATCGTCATGATTACGAGTGCCATGGCGCGCTGGGGTGGCACATCGATGTCATGTCACGCTGGGGTGCCAAGAATAGACACCATGGGGTCCTCATTCAGCACGGGTCCCAGGGACTGTGTAAGACCGTTCGCCCCCCTCACGAGCCCTCTGGACGGGAAACCGTTCACGCGTGGATTTCGTGGTCATCTCCTCGTCGATGCCGCAGCGATGAAGCATTGCGTTGCGTGGGTCGAGCAGTGCTTGGCCTGAGCTACAAACGCCGTCTTCCCCACCAAACGCCCGACCCGTTTGGCCTCTGCCCCAGGCAGGAAGTATCAACCGACGCGTGCGATTCATGCGGCCCAAACGAAACGACTTCATGTTTTGTGTGTGTGTGTGCTTGTCCGTGGCAGGGGCATCATCGTCAGGATGACGGGTGCCATGCCACGCTGGTGTGGCATATCGGAGGGTACCCATGGAACGATCGCCCCCCGCATGTGCATCCAGTCGTGTGTCATCGCAGGGCCGTCATCACCATAATGATGAATGTCATGGCGCGCTGGTGTGGCACAGCGATGTCATGACCCGCTGGTGTGCCTGTAATAACGCGCACCGTGGGGCCCTCATTCACAATCGTTTTTCGAGAGTATGTAAAAGTTTTCGGCCTCTTCACGAGCGCTCTGGACGGGACGCCGTTCCGAGGCGACGTCGTGGGCGTCCCCCTTTCAGTGCTACGGCGGCAAAGCAGTGGGCCCGCGGGTCGAAACGCATTTCGCGTGAGGTAGAACAACATGTTTCCCACCAGGCTGTAAACAAACAGGGTAGTTTCCCAAACGACATGAAATATTATCCAGCCGACGCTCACCATATGGCGTCACATAAGTCTCCATCGCGGCGACGCTCGACAGCGATGCTACGCAAGAGGGAAGAAAAGGCACCCAATCGACGTTGGGTGAGGCCGCGGCTGGACGCCCGTTTGTCGAATCATCAACCCGCCACGTCAATTGGCGCTGGCGGGTGGCGCGCCCAACCCGCCACGTCGACCGGCGCTGGTGGGCGGCGCGTCAAGGCGCCGGCCGAAACGCGTGGTTGCCATGCCCCCCATCGAGGGTGGTGGGTGGGAGATAACGAAACCGCGACCGCGGGCGCGTCCGACGCGCTATAGCGAGCGGACGCGCCGCGCGTCGCCCCAGAGGTCTGCCAAAGCTGCGCTACGGCGAGCAGAGGACAACACCCTGGGCGGGCGCCCTACCCCTAGATGGCCACTATGGGCACGTAGGGCGCCGCAGGCATGACTGGGCATTTTATATCCAGCGCCGCGGCCAGGCGGCAGCATGGAGACATTTCGACCGTGCTCGGAGAGGGAGGTGAGCAAGAGCAAGAGAGGGCGCCGACGCACGGCCGCGCGGCATGCCGGCGAGCCCGCGAGGGGGCTTGGCCCGCCCGACGGAGCGGCGGCGCGCGGCGGGTGGTCATGCAGCCGCCCGCCGTCGCGCTCTGCGACGCCGGCGGGCCCCCCCCCCCCGCGCCAGTCGACTTGCGACCTGCAATGACAACTTATTGCCGCCCCATAAGTCCCCGTCGCGGCGATTCTCGACAGCGATGCCACCCAAGAGAGAATAATGGCGCCCAATCGACGTTGGCCGAGGCCGCAGCCAGACGCCCCCTTGTCGAATCGCCAGCCCGCCGCGCCAACCGACGTTGGCGGGTGGCTTGCCCAAGCCGCCGCGTCGCCCGACGCTGGAGGGTGGCGCGCTCGGGCGCCGGCCGAAGCGCACGGGTGCCATGCCCAACGCCGCGGCCCCAGATGGCGAGGCCGACGCCGGGCGGACGCGCATGACCCAATGCCGGGCAGAGAGTCGGGCGCAGAACCGCAGCGCGCGAGGGGGCGGGCGACGCCGCGCTCGAGCGAGCGAGCGCGAGGGGGCCAGGCGAAACCGAGGCCGCGCAGACCGCGCGCTTGGCGTCGCTGAGCGCCGCGGGAACCCCTGCGCCAGGCTCGTCGTCGCTGGGCGACGCGACGACATGCGCTTCGGCGACGGCTTGGCGCTCCAATTTTTCCACGTCGAGATGGCGCGCGCGCGCGCCTGCATCTGCCAGGGGCCGGCCTCGAGGATATCGGTCGCGCGACCGCCGAGGGCGACGTTGCCTCGGGCATGGCCCCTTATGAACGAGTGGGCGCCATCGGCGTCGGCGTTGCCTGCGCCCGCGTGGCGCGACGCAACGCTGCGCGCAGCGCCCGACGGGCGCTCTCGGCGCGCCAGCCAGCCCACGGAGCGTCGCCCTTGGGCCGAGGGAGTAGGCCGCGCGCCCAGGGCGTGTGCCGGGCACGCGGCGCGAGAACGATCGCACCAGCATTCGCGGACGTTCGTCGTCCGCCTTTTAGCGATTCTTGCGTCTGGCGAGAGAAAGAAAGGCGGTCTCCTCGATCGTGAACAGACCAGCGCGCAACCGCGAGGTGTCGGCAAGGGAGGCGACTCGTCGAATAATGAGCGCCTCGGAGGGTAGCCGAACAACATGGCCGTGCCGCTTTCTGCTAATCGCGTGCCTGGGTATTCCTGCGCGCCAGGCGCGCGCGATCCAACGCTTTGGCGCCCGCCTGGCGCAGCGAGCGCTCTGCGCCGACGTTGTCCGAGTATAGTCGGATCGGACGGCTGCGTGCGCGATGCGCGAACGCTGACAGACCGAGGGGAAATGCGGCGAGTTCCAGCGCCGTGATTTGCGCGTCCAGGCGCATGGCGAGCGCGCCCCCCCGTTCTTTTGGAGGCGGCGCGTCGACCCAGAACGAGCGGCCGCCAATCGACAGCGCGGCCGCCAGACGCGCGGGATTCGAGACGGCGTCGGCGAGCAGCGCGCGCGATCGTCGCTCGGCGCGACGGAGGGGCGCCGCGGGATGACGCGCCACATCCGGGGTCTGAACACCTGTAGCCACCATGACAAGGCATTTAGAGGTCATCGCCGACTCGCCCGCTGCGGCTGTGTTCCCGCGCGCAAAGAGGGCGCGACGTCGCGCGGCCGAGCCTTCTTCGCGCGCGCTGGCACGTTCGCGCGAGCGCCCCAGCGATCTCCGCTACCGCGCGG